CTATGTTACAGACTTTTCATTAAGACCCTAAAGAATCATATCAACTTGTGGAAAATGGGCATCCTATGACCCCTTTAAAAAAAAACAGAAAACAATTGCATGAGTGATGTAAAAAAGTCTATAAAAAAAAAATCACACTGTTATTTAATAGCTATATAAATATTTTTTGTTGAATTTCCAGCAATAATAATTAAAGCCTTATCTATATAATTATCATAATATAAAATTACTCATACAGTGATAAAAGATTTGTGATACCGCCAACCTCTACCACTAATAATCCAAGAACAACATGCCACACACCAAGATATGTTGGGAAATGGTCATACAATTTCCCAACATAATTTGATTTAGTTTTACAAAGGCATCAATGCTGCCAAGTCTGGCTATCAATACTCCATCAAGGCCATTGTGTACAGTGAGGAATCTAGCATGCAATCCAGAGGGGTCAGTCTCTTCTGACCATTGTTCACAGAAGAGACCAAGCACGTCTTATCAGTAAGGCATCAATTGTGCAAAAGATGATGCTTAAATATTTAATATGCTACATTATGAAATCATGAAGATCTGTGAGCTCAAAACTGACGATACTTTGCACTTGTTATATAAAAAAATTATATATAAATATATATAAAATGTTACATTTTATAGTGTTAAACCTTCTATAAAAACAGTATTTTGTTGACTTACAACCCAACAGATCTTTGTTATTCTTGAAGATCTGTTTTCTGGTTCAAAATATACTATGTAAAATGATAACAGGGCAAATGGTTAAAACATATGGAGTGCAACATCTAGTTACTGTTTCTCCTTATAATTTTTTATGTCAGAAGTATAAAAGCAGGTGGCATATTCTGTGCTCTCGAAGTTATCAAATCTTTGCAGCTCAAACCTCCTGGGAACGGTTCTCACCCCTCAGGGTGCATGCCTGACTGCACTGTTTTAATAATGACAAACATCACTTATTTATGCATTCGAAAATCCACGAATGGAAAGCCTTTCAAAGGTGGTGTCAAATCATAACGGAAGTCAGCAAAAATGTTTTTGTACTTTACAATAAAATGATTTATCAAGCTTCAGTGCAAGCTGTTCAAAGTACAGAAGTCACGCTCAAGACAGAAATGAATAACTAGATAAAGCATATGACTTTTAAATGACAGCATGTCAGTTAATTAACGTCGGTTGACTTTTACGCCTCAGAAATAGACTGAATACAAAGCATGAGTCTGAAATACGCAGAGTTTAGTTTGAGATGCTTTTCCAAGCACTTGCAAAACATGTCATGGGACGACAAATAGTTCCCAAGACGGTGAGAATGTCCAAAAGGGTAAATGGATGACAGACAAAACAATACATCATTTGTAATGTGTGAAAGCTGTCATTACACATATTCCGTTTACAGTAAACACAATATAGTGTGTTTACGTGACAGAAAACAACTGCAGGAAACACAAAAAATAAGTTACAATATGCATATTCAGCTAGCATACCCAAGGCACATGATTCATGCATATAAATACAATGACGCAACACTGCAGGAACAACATGATTGCATGCCACCATTTCAGTAGAACTTTTAAAGAAGCCATATGTGCTGTATCCACAAAATTACACAAGCCTGTTTCAGTTATCCTTGGCAAAAGGCAAAAAACAATACAAAACCTGCTTCTCCAGTCAGTTACCACAATAACATTAACTCCAAGTGGCATACAAAAGAGCTTTTATTCCTATTAGAAACATTCAGAGACTATAATTATTACACATACTATCAACTGTGCTATTTCAGCTTGTTGGAAATGAGAAAAAAAAGTGGAATTGCAGTCCAAGTAAATAATGCAGTGGGATGCATTATATTTCCTTGCATAAAAACTTCAGCAATAAGATTTTAACTTTAAAAACAGATGAGAGAATGACAGAATTAATTTAAAATCCTATTGGATAAATTAGTGTTATAGGCTTTATCATTGTAGTGAAGGTGCAGAGACTTGAGCTTCAACACTGACCTTCATCTACCTGTTCCGAACTCAACAGGAATTTATTGAGTGTATGTTATATGAAATATTGTTCAATTTAAGTCATCAAAATAGAATTGCAACCCCGACTTACCTGGTTGAAAGACATTTCAAAAATTAAACCAAAGTTTATAAAGGATGCAAAGTATGCAACAAAATAGATAATCAAAGAAGCCACGTTACCATGACACCAGTCTCTAGACTAAATGCAAATTAATATTTCTAATCAAATATTGCTGTCAGCACAGTAAATATTCTGCCACGACACTGTAAAACATCTCATAAACCTACGCCTTAACACTACAACACAAGATCCCTCGTAGAAAGTTGTTTCCGAAACTTTTACGCAATGTTTGTGCAAATGTTTCGGCATTTCGGCGCACTTCACGCGCCAACAAAAGTGAAAACACAAGCAGAAGAAAAACAAACAGCGCAAATACTCAGACAACATACTATACTTCCGGTAGGCGGACAAATAGAGCTGACGGTTAAACTTAAATGAATTGTAAGAGTTTGTGTGAATAAATAACGATTCCCACCTTCATTTGACGCTGGACATTTTCCTCCAGCTGGAAAATTTGCTCATGTAGTCGTAGACACAAACGTCAGTTCCTGCTAGAGATCAGAGTGTAAAGATTACAGAGAAACAGCGACCTCTGGAGGTCAGAAAACACAGTACTCTTGCTTGTCGGATTCTAACCACCAAAACTAAAAAAGCTCATCAATGCCACCTACTGTTAAATTATCAGAGCTGGGTAGATTATTTACCAATTATAGTCCGTTAACTGATTCCAAATTACATGACTGTAGTCAGTAACGTAATCCATTACATTACACATTTTAGGTAACGTTAGGCTAATGTAATCAGACTACTTTTTAATTACTTTTAGATTAGGCTACCTTTGTCCTAACATGTTTATCATATTGATTTAAATAGGATAATCTTATACCATAATGATATAAAAATACAAAGAGTAAAACAATATATTCCATTCATTGTAATTGAAAACATGAAGTGTAGGCCTATTAAACATTACATAAGGGTCCCCAAACTGGGTTTCGTAAAGAACTGCAGGGGGTTTGTGAGTTTAATGAAAAGCTAACAATTAATTAAATCATAAATCATGTCAAATTCAAATAAATACTTTTAAAATAACAATCAAATTGAAACAAATCAACTTTTGTCTACCTGCATGCCATATGACCATTAACCAATGTCAGAGAACACGCAAATGTGATAATTATTAAAATATTTATTTTAAAATCTCAGGAGTAAAGGGGTCCTTGATTATAATTTCACTTTTCTGAGGAAAGGGCTCCACAGAACCAGGAAGTCAACCGTTTTTAGGAGAACGGAATCAGCGGTAAAATATATGAAAAATAATGCACATTTAAAAAAAAAAAAGGAATTAAGCATGAACACATGTTACAGTGCCCCCCATAAACACAATCAAACTTTCGAAAATAGCTAGTTGACCACCCCTTTAAAGTAAATGCATTAGGTGAAAGAGGTTCAGATGACAAAAAGTTTGGGAATGTCTGCATTCGCCTACATGTAAATAATGAGCTTGAAAGACAAAAGCCACATGGTTAAATACTGATTGCTAATTCAAATAAAAATGAATGTGTTCATCAGTAGTTGATGCAATGTTGAAACACTTCTTAAGCCTGAAATCATTTTTGCAGATCTAATGGTCAAATGCTGTGTAGCCACCTGACTAATGACTAATATATATTTGAATGCCAAAACTGGACTTTCTGAGTGTATATAAGCGGCAGGCTATTTTAGAAAGGAAAATTTCAAAGATGAAACAGAGGAATTAGATAGAATCAATAAATTCTGAATAATTTATTGCTATTGTGTGAATAATATGTAATCATGTAATCTATAAAAAAGTAATTGTAGTCTGATTTCGAGTATTTTAAAATGTAATTTACTCTAATTAGAAGTAGGCTATACTTACTTTTTGGAATCTGATTATGTAATCCAGATTACATGTAGCCGAATCAGTTACTTGATAGTAGTAGGTGTTTATATTACATTCATGATCCCTGACAACCTGGAATATCTACCCTGCTTCTGTATCACAACAGTCAGTGTTGCCATTTTATGCATTTGCACCTTCATTGATAATGGATCTAATATTTTATATGCTATGCGATTTATTTGCATATCAACTTCAATCCTTTCCATTACTCGTTTTGCCAAAATGTTTTCCTCGACAATTTCTCGAGTTTGACACAATGATACACTTCAGTGACAACGGTAAAGCATGGTTCGTTGTAAATTAATGGGAAACACAACTGTTATTGTTTTAAGGGGAAACACATTTGTTAAAAGTAGCCTATTTTATTAATTTTGCATTAATAAACGCAAAACAAAACAACAAGAAAATAACAAAGTACATAATAATAACAAAAATAATAATAACTTGGAAACACAATTTTAATTGGAAAGTTTCACATGGTCTGACTCCAAATCAAATGTAAAAATGATTTCAAACTTGTTTTACACAATCGTTAAAGTAAAAAAGCTATTAGAGCCTATAACATTGTGAGAGTTTGTTGCATAAAGTTGTACCCTATTTGCTCTTGTATATTACAGATATTATTACAGCCTACTAGCCTACTGTATTGTTTTCTACTTCTGTTGTTCTCATAAAACAAAACAATATATATATATATTTTTAAATCTGCTTCCTTATTTTGCTCCACTCCCACATGAATCAGATTCGCTCAAATTGTACCTCTTCATTTTTGCTTGATTAATTTTGCATTTGGTATTTAAACTTTGATTTAATTTGTTCAAATATTGAATTTGTTTCTTGAGAAAGACACGAGACTCTGCATGTCCTCCAGCCCTGCAGGTGGCAGTAAGAAATTAGTTGTACACACAGGAAAACGGTGAGTGAGAGTACAGATGACTGCAGCGCACCATGGCAACAAGTTCAGCTGAAAACTTTAGCTATCAGCCTTTTAAATGTAAGTGTTTTGCTTCTCAAACACGTATGGCGAATTCTTCTTATGGTTGTCTTAAACAAAAAGACAAAAGAGTGTTAGTTTTGACATGAATTTGCATGTCTCGGCGTTTTGTAGTTGGCTTTTAAAGTAAAAATACTTCGCGGTTAGTGACAGGCAAACTAAAATGCGTCCCACAATATCAGATAATCATATTACCACAAAATGAGATACTGTGTGTTATGCATAGTTTTATTTAAATTCATTTTCTGGCTACAGACTGCAATAATTTGAACCATTTTCTTTCCTTACCATCAAGATGCTTTGACATGGAAATTTGTAGCCCATCCCATCACAAGAGGGCACTCAAGATCAACGATGGGGTCTAATTTGTTTGTATTTGTGTGTTTATCAGGTTTAGAGATTAGATACACAACTCTCCTGTTGATGGCTTGTTGTGCATCAGGAGCAATCGGAAAACAAATTGTCCTAGAGGATCATTTAGGCAAACATAACCATGAACATAATGCAAATATGTTCCTTGGTTCAGAGGTATCAACACTATGGTTCCTAATAACAGTTCCTAATCCAGTTTCATTCTACCAACTAACTATCACTGTTTTTCAGGACAAAGATGAAATACAGAAACTCAGCCCATCTGAGCAGCGAAAGCGACTGGTGGAGATAGTGAAGAAGATTGACACCAACTCCGATAAATACTTGACACCAGGTCAGTTCTGGTTTGATTGACTCCAATGTTTCGTCTCTAATTTTAAAAGATTTTAAACTGTAATATATTCCTGTAATGGCAAAGCTGAATTTTCATCAGCCATTACTCCAGCCTTCAGTGTCACATGATCCTTCAGAAATCATTCTAATATATTGATTTGCCGCTCAAGAAACATTTTCTGTTGCTTCTCTAGAGGAAATCACATTATGGATACAGAGGGTGTACAGGGCATATGCGTTGGATGATGCTGAGGAACGCTTCCCTGAGTTTGACTCCAACAATGATGGTCTGGTATCTTGGGACGAATACAATATGGTCTTGCATGGTCATACTGTGGAAGTTGATGTAGATGCTGTTCTTGAAGACCCCGAGGAGGAGTCTCTCAGATTTGTATGTTGCATAATTTATTAACATTTCATATTGTGGAACAGCAAAGAAAGGTCTTGCGTGATCGAAAAAAAAAATTGTATTCACTCACAGCTCCATGCAAAGGAAAAAAGACGTTTTGACTTTGCCGATATGGATGGCTCAGATGCTTTGAACTTAACTGAGTTCCTTGCGTTTACTCATCCGTCTGAAGTGGACCACATGGCTGTAAGTATAAAGTGAAGATGCCGTAAATTAGAGATTAAACATTCATGTTAACTGTGTGCTTTGTGGTTGCATTTACCCCAGGATTTTGCCATTGAAGATGTGCTTTCTGAATATGATTTGGATAAAGACGGATTCATCAGCTTGAGTGAATTCATCGGAGATCTCAGAGCAAATGGTATGACTATGTTGGGATAAATAGCAGTATATATTGTCATTACACTAGTGATTATAAAAAAGTCCAATAACCAATAAATGGGTGAAATTAAATTTCTGCACTATATTGTCTGAATAGTGAAGAAAACTTAAAATGTTAAATACAGTTGAATTTAGGCATAATAACATTTTAATGTGTTAATTTATATAAGGTGTATGTGAGGTGTTAACATCTAGATATTTGCCAGGAGTGTGGTAAATTATTATCAGAAACATGTAAGTTTGCTTGTCTGTGTTTAAGAGCAGGAAGAGCCCTCGCAGTGGGAGGTTGAGGAAACGGTGCGCTTTAAAGATCTCTATGACCAGGATAAGGATGGAAAACTCAACAGGGATGAACAGCTCCACTGGGTCGCTCCCAACAGCTATGGCTCGGCACGAGAAGAAGTCAGTCAATGTGCCGTTTGTCCGCTAATGTTTTGTTTACATCTTTAACCAGATGTTCTAAATACTTTTTTTTCCCTTGAATGTTGAACAGGCCATTCATCTGATCAAAGAAATGGACCAAGATGGTGATGGTAGACTCTCGGAAGCAGAGATTTTAAACAACCAAGACACTTTCATGAACAGTGAAGTGACTGATTACGGCAGACAGCTTCATGTGCCACATGATGAATTGTAATAGTTAGAACCTTTTATAAATAGCTCTTATGGTGCCACAAAGAAAGACTACTTGAGTTTTTACAAGTTCATTTTTATTAGATAGCATGTAACTGGCACACTACTATTACACAGCCCTGCATCTTGATTTGTAAAAATGATATGATGAACTCATAATGATGCTGAGTTACCATATACAGTTTTTTTTTTCACAACATAACATTAGTTTTAATGCACATATCAACAAGAGGTTTGCTTGTAATGACAAAAGAGTATTCAAAATGAACCATTTAACTAACAATCTGCAAAAAAAAAAAGTACAAATATATTTATGCAAGTTTATAAATAAGCTTTTTTTTCCCCCATAAAATCTGTAACTTTACGTCACATCTTTGGATGTACAGTAGTAAAACACCCAAAGATGTACAGTAGCAGAAAACGTCAGGGTCATGTTTGCATTTTCTTCTTTCACAGGCCACAATTTTAACCTTGAAATCAGGATTTGGCATAAAATAATGTTTCCAGAATCATTCAAGTGAAAATCGGCTGAGAATTGAACAAATAGTTATAACCTGGCTCAGTGGAGGATAGGAATCATGAATTCATGTCAGTATCTTGTGATTAAAGGATAATACAAGACTTCTTCACCTTACAAATGGTTGTCAAAAGCAGAAATGCTAAGAAAAGCACATTTTATGAGAAAGTGGGACGTGCTAGAGCAAAACGAGCACTATTTTTGAAATCAGCATCGCAAAATTAGTAAGAAACACGTAGGATTGGATTTTATTCAGCTAATGTGATGCAGGGTGGTGTTGTCTAGTGAAATAGATTAACTATTGAGAAATTGTCTTTTGTTTGAACTAAGCTGTATTAGATGCACTTTTCTCTTGGCCCTCTCTATATAAAATCCGTAGCTATCACACACAGTTGCTGTGCTGTCGCTTGGAGTCAAAAGATATTCAAATCAATTTAACTGCTACCACCTCGCTATTTCTGCAGTTATGAAGAAACAACTCAACTCTGCTTAGATTTCGATGGCTTTGTTTGCTCCAAATCTCTTTGACACCTAAAGACTGACTCTTAATATTTTCCAAAAGCCCACTGTTTGAGATGTTCCATCCTATCTAGTATTCAAATGGCTGCTGAATGCATGCGTATTATCTGTCGGCCATGCTCTCTGTGGTCAATGACATAGGAGAGAGCTTCCTCATCTCAGTCAAACCTGAGCACTACGGGTGTAGTGTGAACAGTGGTTTCCCTGCGTATGGTATTGTCAGTTCTTTCATTTTTCTTAATTCCGGTTTTGTTTCCTTCTGTGTGCTTGCAACATTCCTAAAAGCAGCCTGTGAAATGACACCGTTACAATTCAAAGATTCTTTTTGGGTAAGTACATGAGTTGAGCTATTTTGACAGATTAGATTGAACGTTGTTGTCTGTTAGGGCTGACATGACTGAGGTTAACAATACTGCATATGGTAATGTGTCTTTAACTTCCAATAATACACTAGCATCACAATACCCTTGGTCCACTTATCAAATCTCAGAATTTTTTGTGCACTGCCATTCTCGTTCATTTGTATCAGGAATTACTGTTTCTTTAAATAAGACACTGAGGGTATTTCAAACTAAGAATGATTTTTTGTTTTTTAAGATTTTGATGTAAGATTTTTAGGAATAGGATTTTTGCCTTTTTTAACAAAAATACTTCTCTTCATTTGAAGGTTGAGGGTTTATATTTAGACATCCTCATATTGTGTCATGGAGATGATCTGTGGGCTTCCTGTTGAGCGTTTGACTGTGTGCCCACTCTATCCTCTTTTTAGCTTTGATCTTGTATTGTCAGAGCATCTATCTACAAAGCAGCTTCTGGGTTGATTTGCCTGTCAAACCATGCTAGTGCTGTTCAGTGTTGAAGGTGCATGTAAAATATATTATATAGTTATGTAAATATAGTACTATTGTTTTCTTTCTGTTGCAAATGTAAGATTGTTGAGATAAACGAAGGAGTGTTCCATGTTAATATTATTAATATTCCATTAATATAGCATCCCATGTCAACAAGCACAGTAAATTATTAAACTGTTTAACCACCTCAGACAGTCTGGTACCACATATTATTTTTGCATAGATACCAACTTCTTCAAATAAGGCCTAATTCAGGATTAAAACTGAAATACACAGAGATATATCGAAATGGAATCTCTTTTTTCTTTTTCAACCTAATCATGTTATAATAAACAATCATGTTACTGGAGAAATATAATCTAATCCTCATGGCTCCAGGGCCCAGAATTCACAAGTAACACCGGATATGAGACTCTTATCCAGAGGCTATGTGATGGGCGACGAGCTTGCAAAGATATGGAGGAGCTCTTAAGAATGAGGTAACAACTGAAAATTGCATATTTACAGTGGGTACGGAAAGTATTCAGACCCCCTTAAATTTTCCACTCTTTGTTATATTGCAGCCATTTGCTATTTTAGCAAATGGCTGCAATATAACAAAGAATGAAAAATTTAAGGGGGTCTGAATACTTTCCGTACCCACTGTATATTTATTTCTACAAGACGCACTGTGTAGCATTGGTTAAAAGCATTGAGCTGTATTGGATTGGATAACAATGCAGTTTTCTACTCAGAGCGATGGCAGAGGAACGGTACGGCAAGGAATTGATTACTATTGCACGCAAGACAGGAGGGCAAAGTGAAATTGGGTAAGAAAATATTGTATGTATTTTTTTAAATATATTTATGTGAGTATAAATTGGCTTCTGGATTTAAAGTTTTGCTTACAAATAAAGGTTTATGAGCATGAGTCTTTTTTATCTTTGTTTTATTGCTTTGGTATTGTAGCACTTTGAAGGCATCGTTTGACCAGCTAAAAGCCCGTAAGTAACACTTCAAATATATATTTGCTAAGTGACACTGAGAAATATATTAAAGAAAGTAAGGAATAAACAGTATCAGCTACATCTGCTAACTAACCCCAAACTTACAAGATCACTAATGAATATGCTGTTTTCTCACCTAGAAATGGAGGACATCGGAAATTTGCACATTCAGCTCTCGGGGATGTTACGAGAAGAGGCGAAACGAATGGAGCAGTTCAGAGAACGACAAAAGGAGCAGCGAAAAAAGGTTAAATGCCATGTGATGCTTTAATTAATCTACATTTGCAGAACCGCAAACCACTTGCTCACATGTTTATTCTATGTTTAAAATTGGGTGAACAAAAACTGAGTACTGTACTTGTGTTCAAACCAAGACGCTTCTTAACACCTCGCGTTCGCTACACTCTCAGAAAAAAAGCTGAGGTGGCACAAAAGCTAAAAGGCACAGCTTTTTTTACCCCTAAATGGTATATTAGTACTTTATATTAGTTTACATATTAGTACCTTTTAGCTTTTGTACTGCCCCATTGACACCAGTGTACTATTGCTTTATTAAAAAAGGTGTTACCTATCAAGCACTTACCTAACAAATGTTTACTTTTTACAGTTTGAAGGGGTTATGGAAAAGGTTCAGAAGACCAAAGTGTCATTATATAAGAAAACCATGGAGGTAAGTCTAATTTACTTTAACATATTAGTCACTTCAGTTTTGTAGGCTACTCAGTTCATCCTGTATTTACCTAATAGAGACTGAAAGCAGAATATCAGGAAGAGGAAGGTGATTTAAATCATCGGTGCATAAGCTAACCTCTGTGCAGCAAGTGTGCAGGGCAGAGGGGGGGATGGGACTTTAAAATGTTGTAACTGTCATCTCAGGAAGTCTCACTTCTCTACTAGAAGTATATTTCCTTCTCGCCCGCACACTTTTGTTGACTCCCACTGACACAGCCTCTGTTTTCTCAATGTTAGGTTTTCTCTCTTCCTCATATATTCACAATTTCCTGACAACAGACGACTGCTGTATTGTCAAGAAAACACGTGTTTCTGTTTTTCTTGGTACATTCAGACAAATTCAGAAAGCAAAGGCACACATTATCGTATAGCATTCTGTTTTGATAAACAAAAGAGTGAAAGGGAATCTGATCTATTCAGATCAGGAACTGTAAAGGTATTTGTGTGACTTGAGGTAAGATGAGGGTTATGATTTCTAAATGACAGGAAGTTAGTCCAAACCTCAGAAGATATGCTTCATAATCTACCACCATTGTTTATAAGCACACTACTGTAGGTCAATGGGACTGTCCTTGTAGTGAAATGTATTTTAGATTATTTTAGAAAGTATATTGTAAATGTACAGTAATAAAAACTAAAGTGAAGTTCATTTTTTATATGTGACCCTGGAGCACAAAACCAGCCATAAGTAGCACAGGTATATTTGTAGTACATTGATAAAAATACATTGTATGGGTCAAAATTATCGATTTTTCTTTTATGCCAAAAATCATTAGGATATTAAAAGGTTAGTTCACCCAAAAATGAAAATTCTGTCATTAATTACTCACCCTCATGTCGTTCCACACCCCTAAGACCTTCGTTCATCTTCAGAACACAAATTAAGATATTTTTGATCAAATCCGATGGCTCAGAGAGGCCTCCATTGACAGCAATGCCACCCAAACTTTCAAGATCCATAAAGGTACTAAAGACGTAGTTAAAACAGTCGACGTGACTACAGTGGTTCTACAATAATTTTATGAAGCGACGAGAACACTTTTTGTGCGCAAAAACAAAACAAAAATAACGACTTTATTCAACAACCTCTTCTCTTCCGTGTCATTCTCATACGTTGTTTACGTCCAGCGCTTCCAGGTTCTACGTCAGAACGCCGGCTCATTATTGGACGGCTCCTGCATCAGCATCACACGCATGCGTCGCGCAGCTCACGTGCAGCTTTGGCCAATAATGAGCCGGCGTTCGGACGTAGAACACGGAAGCCTCCACTGTGCTTACTGCGTTAACCACGTAAGGATAATGACATGGAAGAGAAGAGATTGCTGAATAAAGTTATTTTTGTTTTGTTTTTGCGCACAGAAAGTATTCTCGCCGCTTCATAAAATTATTGTAGAACCACTGTAGTCACGTCGACTGTTTTAACGACGTCTTTAGTACCTTTATGGATCTTGAAAGTTTGGGTGGCGTTGCTGTCAATGAAGGCCTCTCTGAGCCATCGGATTTGATCAAATAACTTAATTTGTGTTCTGAAGATGAACGAAGGTCTTAGGGGTGTGGAACGACATGAGGGTGAGTGAGTAATGACAGAATTTTCATTTTTGGGTGAACTAACCCTTTAAGTAAAGATCATGTTCCATGAAGATCTTTTGTAAATTTCGTACCGTAAATATATCAAAACTTCCCAGCAGGCACCGGATGTCTATGTAACGTCAGGTTGGCGTTGGACATGACATCAGACAGATGTTGCATTTCGGTTGAAAATTAAAATCGTGTTGACGTCAGTATTTGACGTCAATTTGACGTTGACTTAACATTGGATTTTGGTTACACAACCTAAAAACAACTAAATATCAATGTCAGCTGATGTCGGTATTGGACATAAATTTAACATTGACATTAGACGTTGAATTTACATTGAATTTTGGTCACCCGACGTCGCAACCGAAATTTAACCAAATATCAACGTCATATGACGTTGTGTGCCTGCTGGGTTAATTTTTGATTAGTAATATGCATTGCTAAGAACTTCATTTGGACAACTTTAAAGGCGATTTTCTCAACATTTTGATTTTTTTGCACCTTTAGATTCCAGATTTTCAAATAGTTGTATCTCGGCCAAATATTGTCCTATCCTAACAAACTATACATCAATGGAAAGCTTATTTATTCAGCTTTCAGATGATGGAAAAACAATAGCAAAGTTGAGAAAATTAAACCCCAGCAAAATGTATGTATAAATAATTTTGTATGCTTAATTCTGTCTTAAAGACAAAGTCAACTGAATGCTACAATCTTCTAGTTAGCAGTAGAAGGAGACCAGCTAGATGAATTACATATAATGTAGTAAAGTTTCGTTTTCCATCAGCTTGTTGTATGTCTTGTTCTTCTGTTGCTTTGTAGTGGATGGATGTATATTTACATTAAGGCATTTATTAATGCATTGATTTGGAGCAGACTGATTGAATATGTGCATGTTTGAGTGAGTGAAACCAGTTGGGTCAAAAAGTAACAATTGTCAGGTAGATTACGAAAGTCTAATCACACTTTTTCTGTGAGATAAGGCTTTTTCATGAGATAGAGTGTAGACTGAGGTTAGAATCAAGTTTAAAGATAAGGGGAAGTTTCCTGCTTATTAATTATGTTTAGTCATTTGTGGTTAATTTGGCCATCATTCAAGTCTAGGTGAGCAGTGGTTTAATAACCCTGTATCTTCCTGCTTTTCCCAGTCTAAAAGGACGTATGAACAGAGGTGTAAAGAGGCTGATGAAGCTGAACTGGCTGCTGAGAAGCTCAACAGTACATCCACTGTCACCCCCAAACAATCTGAAAAGGTAAATTATGGGTCATTATGGGCAGAATTTGTGTGGTTGTCAAATATTACAACATACACTAGCGTTCAGTTTGGGGTCAGTAAGGTTATTTATTTATTTATTGGCAGAAATAAATACTTTTATTCAGCAAGGATGCATTAAATTGATCAAATGTGACCATAAAGACATGTAACCAAAAAAAATTCTATATTTCAAATAAAATGCTGTTTTGCTCTTTTGAACTTTCTATAATAATCAAAGAATATTGAAAAACAGTATCACGGTTTCCACAAAAATAATAAGCAGTGAAACGGTTTTTAAACTTTATAATAACAAGAAATGTTGATCAGCGAATCAGCATATAAGAATGACGATTTTCAGTAATGACTGCTGAAAATTTAGCTTTGCCATCACAGGAATAAACTGTAAATATAAAAAAAGGAAAACAGTTACTTAAAATTGAAATAATATTTTAACAATATTACTGTCTTTACTATATTTTTGATCAAATAAATGCAGCCTTGGTGAACAAGAGACATCTTTCAAAAACATTTAAAAAATTCATACTGACCCCAAACCTTTGAACAGTAGTATGATTTTTGTGGATAATTTATGGATTGTTTTACATTTGAAATAAATGTAGGTAAAAATGCGAGTGATATTGTTTGATGCCATTTCTTTTTTTAATTAAACTGGGGTCATTCTGTGTCAACTCAACCAGACATGCCTAGCTAAAAATGTTGATTTTAATTTGGAAGAAATACATAAATAAAGAAGAAAGCCAAGATATTACATGTCATGGATGAATAATCCACCGGTTTGTAGAGGGTGGTCAAAATTACAATTTTCACCTGAGATTCAGAGCCAAATTATGGGGAGTAGAAATAACGTTAAGTGTCAGCTCTGGAATTGAACCATATAGGGCCTTAAAAATTAAGATATCAAAAGAAAAGTTTGATAACAACCAAAATCTAAAAGGATATTAGGATATCTCTAATATTTTGCAGGCATGCAGACTTTGGAAAAAATGAAAAAGTATTTGTGTGTGTGTGTATATACTGTGTATATATATATATATATATTATTTTATTTTTTTTTTTTTTAAGTACTTTTTTATGTATTTGAACGGTCACCTTTGGCATATAATGCAACAAAGATGGCTAAAGTCAACTGATTTTACTAAGAGACCTACCAATCTCTGTGTAAAAATAAAATGATGATGCTAACTATGATGAAATCTATTTTGTGCTCTATGCCATAACAGACACAAAACAAAGCAAAACAGTGCAGGGACGCAGTAACAGATGCAGGTGAGAATAAAAATATGCTTTGTTTTCACACATAGCAGCGTCTGGTTGCAATGCAAAAATTAGCAATCAGTACATCCGAACCCAAAAAAAAAAAACAGTGATGCAAGTAATGTTTAACATGCACAATTCAAATAGTTCCAAACAAGACATTCAATGCTAAAAATGCTACAAGGCTCATGCTTGTTCCTGATTCACAGAGAAACAGTACATGTCAAACATAGAGCAGCTGGATAAGATTTGTCAGGAATGGGAGACCACGCACGAGTGCACGTGTGAGGTATAAAAACACACTCGCCTATCTGTTTGTTGGCCTTCGGAAATAGCTCTATCTCTCTGCTGAAGCTGTGAACCACATAGAACACACTAAAAATGAACTTCCCTTTTTCTCTCTGTTTTACCCATATGTACCACAAACACTACTCAACTCAGCTGGCTGCAAAAGAGAGTTTTTGGTTTATTTAACAAGTACATGCATAACGTCAATTCTGATCCTCCTATGTGTCACTAACAGTTTGACAAAGGCTTGGCGAAATCACCATTTACTGTATTTAATACCTTGTATGGTGAGTTAGCTCAGCCTGTGTCATCCTACTGATTTCCTTTTACATCTGTCCACTGCATAAGCATTATTAATAATAAGTTGGCTGATTCATGGGCCTTCACATTACGAGCACGTAGATGTATTTATAGCATGATGTTGAGCTGAATTCTGTGAATTTCTCCAGGTTTTCCAGCAGCAGGAAGATGATCGCATTAACATTTTGAGAAATGCTATTTGGGTCCATTGTAACCACTTTTCCATGCAATGCGTCAAAGATGATGAGGTCAGTATTACTTAATGAAGCTTTTATAGATCACATCGATGATAGTTACAGTGGATAACATTAAGATTACATACAGTGGAAATATGGACATGTTTAAAGATAGAACCATTGTTTTTCATGCAGTGGTCAGTTTTAAAGGGGTCATATGATGCTGCTAAAAAGAACATTATTTGGTGTAATGAAATGTGTTTATGCGGTTTAAGGTTCAAAAAACACATTATTTTCCACATACTGTACATTATTGTTTCTCCTCTATGCCCCGCCTTTCTGAAACGCGTCGATTTTTACAAAGCTCATCGGTCTGAAAAGCAAGGTGTGCTGTGATTGGCCAGCTATCCAGTGCGTTGTGATTGACCGAATTCCTCAAGCGTGAGACGGAAATGTTACGTCCCTTACCATATTGTGATGCCTGCGGCAACCACATGTAACGACCGCGGGCTGGACTCCGCTTCGTCCACGGTGAAAGCAGATCCGGCGATCGACAGCGCAAAGTTGATGTATTCCCTGAGCAACCAGCACGGATCAGCTCCAGGCATGACGAAGCGATATCGTTCTCTTTTGGAAGGCCAAACAAAGTAGTTTCGCTTTCACAACGAAGCACACAGTGCCTTCACGACATGGCGGTCGCAACAACAATACTACAGCGAGAATAAAAGTTACGCCTTCTTTCTTTGCGTGAACATTTGGCGGCGTTATGCAAATCTTCCCACATCGTGACATAGACATGTGGGGTGTGTTAGAATGAGCCATTTTAGGTAGGTGTGGCTGACTCTTAACTTTTATAAAGAATATCTCTTTGGATTTGAGACTTTAGTCGTTGCAACTTTACAGATCTTCTTTATGCACCAAGAGCTTGTAACACTCTAAAGAGAAAGGAAAAATTGAAATCGCATATGACCCCTTTAAGATTTTGCTGCTTCTTTCAGACTAGTGGGGAAAAAACATCCAAAATTCATATTTAAGTGTTTATTTTGTGACCTGTAATCTATCAGTGTCTTTAGATTTCAATCTACAAAATATATTTATAAAGGCTGTTTGCTGAAAATTAGGCTTTTTTTTTCATGCCACTCTAATGGCAGAAATGAGTAGCACTTACATACTATACACTAAACTTTACAGTTTTATATATTTTAGTATAAGATAACCCTGATTTTTATGTACTAAAATCAAGGTTATCTTAACTGAAACTGAATTTAAAATGAAAATGAGTAACATTTCCATTATTTTAAAATAAAATAAACGTCAACTTAAAATAAAATATGAAATATCCTGAAATATCCTTTTATTTCAGCTAGCTGCAGAGGCAGCATTTCTTATTTTAATTTAGTGTAACTTAATGGACTAAAATAACTAAAAGTGAACCTAAAATAAAAATGTCTAAAAACTATATAGACATATATATTGTATGTGTATATATAACAATCAACAAAATGACTAAAACTTCAACTGAAAATTAAAACAGAATATATAAAATAAAAACTCAAAATACAAATAAAATAGTATACTATAATATAATATTTAACTATGATAGTATCAGTGATACTTAAATTACACTGAAGTTTGTTCATTTATAATCATCCTGGTTTATAAAAAAAATATTCCTAAAAAGATGACAAAATGCATTTTTTTTTATTCAAAATATTCAAATATTAAATTAAAAACCTGTAACTTTAATACAGTATGTCAACAAGAATTGTGTACCTGTTCTGGAAATGTATGCAAATTAGTTTACATTATAATAATGCATCCTTTGCATATTTAAACAGCATTTTTAGAAAAGTTGTAATGCAAATTAATTGTCTTAATGTACTGTGATTACCATAAGTAATCACAAGTATGATGATATCAGATATTTTTCTCTATTCATCTGTTGCGTCTTGACTTAAAATGACATGAAATAAGTGGGATGTATTATTCTTTATATTAATAATATGAATGTAAGCAAACTTGTGTCATTGCTCCTGTGAGCTTCGCTTGAAACTTTGATGTTCTGTGGAAAACTATCAGGTTTTACACAAATGCTATCTTTAATGCAATTACATTTTGGTATTAAATCATAAAAATGCAAAGTAGAAGCATTTTCACTCGTGGTCTCTAACTGTGAAATAAAGCACTGGCCATATTGTCAAATTACTGGTCATTTTTATGCAGTGTTATGAGGAGGTGAGGAAAGTGCTAGAAATGTGTGACATCACGGAAGACATCAACACTTTCATCAAGGCAAAAAGCACTGGCACCACTCGTGCAGGTCAGTGCATTTCTATATTGTTTCCATTGGGTTTTTATATTAAACCTTGCCAGTAATCACAAATCGTTATCACGATGTGGGCTAGTTCAATAACCATATCATGTGATGATGATATAGTTTAAGAAAAGTGCTGTTGTGTCTTTGCTTAATTTAATTTTCTGTCTGTGTCTGTAGCGCCCATTGTGTTTGAAAACTATTATGATAGAGAACCAACAACGGACAGCAATGGCATCGCACGCTTTGGAGGAGGCGTGATGAAGAGGTGTGTTTTCCACTGCTGGGTCTGTATGTTCATGTATATTTGCCATGCTGACAAGACAGAAAACAATGGAAAATGTAAGCCATACTGCTGTTTAGCAGAAGCTGGTTTTAACATGCTTTTTATCAGAAATACTGGTTCATTAGTCTTAAAGGTGTTAGCAGATATATCACACAAAAAGACGTGCAGGCTGAGCTGTGATACTGAACTGGTGAATTTGTGACTTCATATTAAATGTTTAACATTTCTTCAGTCTTTTAATGTGCTGGTTTTTCCTCCCGTTTTATGCAATCATTTTTTTTTCTTTTTGAAAGGTTTTCAAATCTCTTGCAAGGCAACTGTGCTGTTGGCTCTAGGACTAATAATGAATGTGTTCAGCCATCAGCACCTCCATCAGGTACCTATTACAATAACATAATGACAATTTTCGGCAGCATCTTTCTTTCTTTCTTCCTTTCTTCTATTTTTGCCACCACCAGAGGGCACTTCAGCCCACTGTTTAATTTCATTAAATGGTATTTGTTTTTTTCTTACTTTTTATTTTCCAATTATTTTCCCTAGTGTAACCACTTAAAAAAATGTATTTGAGTACTAGGGTTATTTGAGCATTATTTATATACTATTATAGTATTTATTAATATTATGAATTTTTGTTTTCTGTCATTTTTGCTTTAGTAGTGTTTACATTACACCTCTTTACAATAAGCTCCCTTTAGATAATGTTAAAATTAACAAAGAGCAATTCATTTGTTACCATATTTATTAATCTTAATAAAAATACTGTTGTTAGTTTATGTCAGCTCAGGTCCAGTATTAACAGATACAACTTAAAGCATGTCAACATATTCTGTTACACCAAATAATGATCTTTAAAATAGCATCATATGACCCCTTTAAATAATGAATTAGTAAACATTGAAAATATTATTAAGATTAATAAATGCGTGAGAATTATTTTTTGTAAAGTGTTACCAAATATTTCTATTTAGCTTTATTTTTATTTCAGTTTTAGGCGTTTTAGTACATAAACGTATTTTATTTCAGTTAATTGCCTTGGGCAACTTTTCTCATTTTTATTTATACTTTTTGAAGTTTAGTTTAATATATATTTTACAGTATATGTATTATATAATTGATCTGTTTTTTTTTTCCAGCTGACATCTCAGATGGAGTGTATGCCTCCATTCCTGGATTTCCAAAAGCAACTTCAGACAGTGTTGGCTCTCAAAGCGGCACATACCAGGCTCAGTATGACTATGTCGCTCAGGTACAATAGTTTAATTAAATGAAAAAAAAAAAAAAAGGTTGGAAATGATTATAATGACTTTACAGGAGAATACTAAGAATATGCATTCACTATAGACAACTTTAAAGAGGCACATACAGAATATTTTAAAGGCCAAATTTAGTCATCCCTTTAGAACTCTATATTTTCGAGAAAATTTGCCACTGCAGTGTAAGTCAGTATTAACATTTCAATGTTTCTTCGAAAATGCCAATTTGGTATTTACCGTGGCTCTTGCCTAAGTACAGAAAACGGTTTATATCATTTTTGGGATGTTTAATGCAGTCTGATGAGAGACTGTTGTGTGTGCAGGGCGCTGATGAGCTCTCCATCTCTGTGGGGGAAGTGCTGCTCGTGGTGGAACAGGGAGGAGACGGCTGGTGGATGGTGGAGAGGGACGGCCAGACTGGGCTGGTGCCAGGCTCCTATTTGGCCAAGATATGAATCAAGAGTCTAGCGCACACTGGAAAGGCTCTCCATGTCCTTAAACGCCCTCGAATAGCAGAGTTATTAAGGGCACTCCCTATATAAGTGTCTCAGAGGAGGATTTCTGTTTGCTAAATGCATTTAAGCAGTAGCACATCCGTACTGAAAATCTGTATGGAACATAGAAACGGGTTAATATGTATATTAAAAACGGATAATTATACGTGACTATCATTATTGTCGAGATAGAGATTTATATTTATTATAAAAATTATTTATTGTGAATGAAAAACATGAGCATGTACAACACAATGAGTAGCCACTACGGACTTACCATGATTTAGTTCATGCGAAGACGATGACAATGTAGATATTTAAACAGAATTCAAAATTTCATCTCCGTTTACTTTTTAAGTTAATCAATGAAACAAAAGTGAGGTCATCTACAATTTTAAATTATCATCTATAATAGAGCTCTAGGTTCAGCATTTTGCATTTATCACTTGGACTGCATAAAATAAAAGCTGTGTAATGATCATTGCATCATGTTGGCATTGACTGAATGTAAGTTGGGTAATGGTTTGAACACTGGCTGTAATACTTTTTGACTCAGGTGGTTGGTTGAGAGAAACTAACCTGGGACAAACATTTTAAAGTTTAAACAGAACGACCTGCTTTGTCTTGTCCTCACGTATCAAGTTTCCAAAAGGCCAAGGGGGTTTTCAAACATTTCTCAGTCGCGGTATTCAACTTACCATATGTGACCCTGGAGCACAAAACCAGTCGCTGGGGTATATTTGTAGCAATAGCCAAAAATACATTGTATGGGTCAAAAGTATAGATTTTTCTTTTATGCCAAAAATCATTAGGATATTAAGTAAAGATCATTTTCCATGAAGATATTTTGTAAAATTTCCTATCGTAAATATATCCAAACTTAATTTTTGATTAGTAATATGCATTGCTAAGAACTTCATTTGGACGACTTTAAAGGTGATTTTCTCAGTATTTTGATTTTTTTGCACCCTCAGATTACAGATTTTCAAATAGTTGTATCTCAGACAAATATTGTCCTATCCTAACAAACCATACATCAATGGAAAGCTTATTTATTATATGATGAAAAATTGACACTTAAGACTGGTTTTGTGATCCAGGGTCACATATTTGATAGATCATACATTTTTAGAAATCATTGTCAATTACGGTCTGCAACATATTAAGAAATTAGGACGTTTAAATACACTACAGTGCAATAGTTTGGAGTCCATACAATTTTTTTATTGAAGTCTTTTTTGCTCACTAAAGTAGCACTTTATCACTTATTTGATCAAAGTTACAGAAAAAAACAGTAATATTCTGAAATATTATTACAATTTAAAATAAGTATTCTAATTGTTTTGAAATAAAACTATTAAAATCATTTTCTGTTCTAAAACATTTTAAAATGTGTTTTATGTATTTCAGAGTTTACATCTCAGAATTTTGCAAAAAAAATTTCTTCAATTTTTTTTTTGTTTTGCAATTGCTGATTCACAGTTTACAGTTTATGAACTCAGAATTGAGATTTAAAAGAATAGCTCACCCAAAAATGACATTTTTGTCATCATTTACATTGACCCTCATGTCGTTCCAAACCTGTATAAGTTTCTTTATGTTGAACACAAAAGATGATATTTTGAAGAATTCTGAAGAACCAAACAGTTGTTGGTCCCCACTGACTTCCATAGTAGGGAAAGAAATACTATGGAAGTCGATGGGGACCATCAATTGTTTGATTACCAGCATTCTTCAAAATATCTTCTTTTATGTTCAACATAAGAACAGGTTTGGAACGACATGAGGGTGAGAAAATGATGACAACATTTTCATTTTTGGGTGAGCTATCCCTTTAATATGCAATTGCGAGTTGGTAGTATAGTAATCATAGTACTTTCTATACAAGCATTTTTTTCAGCACGTAAATCAGTCAGTAAACCAACACCCTGCTAATTCTTTATCAGGTATCTGGTTAAAAGGTTTCACATTGCTCTTTTACACAGATCGTGTTTCAGCACTGTCAGGTCCTTCTCAGTTATAGTAAGTATAACGATAGAGGGGAAACCCACATGACAGGCTCATTAATTGCATTTCAACTTTCTACTATTAATAACCTGCCATTAGAGCTTGCAGATGTTGTGCCGTTATTAATGGATCCAAGAACACAGCGATCAAACCTCCCCCTCTAGATAATGTGTGATATGTTACTTCGCATGACCAACACAGCAAGCAGATGGGACACATCCCCCTCCCTGGGAAAGGACTGAACTTTAACCCTGTTCTATGCTATCAAGTGTTTAAGCCTCCTGACTGAAGAAAGACCCCAGACAATGCATCTTTGACATCTTTTGAGTGCCTTGTGCACTATGGAATTGCTCATTCAGTCAAGAATGATATAGTTGTGCTCCAGTTTGTTACATTACAGAGTACAAATGACGAGTACAAGATGACTTGTTCAGAAGCACTTCTTTCTTTAGCTTTTAACAACAATTACGGGGTGTACTGTGATGAATGGGCATTTTAGTGTATAAAGTCTACCATAATTTAAGGTGATTTTTTCAAAAGGGTTTTTTTTCTTTTCAAGAAATGAATATTTTTATTTTGCACGGATGAACTCAACTGATCGAAAGTGACAGTAAAGACTTTTTTTTTAATAAATGCTGTTCTTTTTAACTTTTTGTTCATCTTTCTATAACATTTTTTTTATCTTGGTTTCCACAAAAATAAAGCAGCACAACAGTTTTCTTGGACTGGACTAATGACTGCTAAATGGTGGCTCTTTATCAACACAGTAATAAATTATAAATAAAACATTAAAATAGGAAACAGTATTACATTTTTTTACATAATATAATTTTAATTTTGCAGCCATGGCATACAAGCCAATATCTTATTCAAATCAAAGAAATGAAACAACAGGTGTCAACTTATGAAACATTTATTTTAAGATCGAAATTACAAGCTTATTTCACCATTTTTCCTCCCTATGTATACATTTCTTAAAATAATACACTGTTGACCCCGTTTGACATACCTACATGTTATCCAAACTAACTTTAAACTCTATATATTACTAGACTAGTAATGTTTACACTGTAAGCAATGGAAAAAGGAGGAAAAGAAGATAAGAATTCAGTAAATGGTAGGTAGTGCATCTAGAGAGCATCCCCCAAACCTCTTAACGCTTTACATGTGAACCCCATTTTGAACATTTAGCTGTACGATTGGACTCACAATGCCAAGCAATCTTGTGTGGTCAATACAGACCCGTCTCTCACACTGCCACTGTCCCTGAGCAGCGGGCTGGTGATGGGTGACATTTTTTTTATCTTGGTTTCCACAAAAATAAAGCAGCACAACAGTTTTCTTGGACTGGACTAATGACTGCTAAATGGTGGCTCTTTATCAACACAGTAATAAATTATAAATAAAACATTAAAATAGGAAACAGTATTACATTTTTTTACATAATATAATTTTAATTTTGCAGCCATGGCATACAAGCCAATATCTTATTCAAATCAAAGAAATGAAACAACAGGTGTCAACTTATGAAACATTTATTTTAAGATCGAAATTACAAGCTTATTTCACCATTTTTCCTCCCTATGTATACATTTCTTAAAATAATACACTGTTGACCCCGTTTGACATACCTACATGTTATCCAAACTAACTTTAAACTCTATATTACTAGACTAGTAATGTTTACACTGTAAGCAATGGAAAAAGGAGGAAAAGAAGATAAGAGTTCAGTAAATGGTAGGTAGTGCATCTAGAGAGCATCCCCCAAACCTCTTAACGCTTTACATGTGAACCCCATTTTGAACATTTAGCTGTACGATTGGACTCACAATGCCAAGCAATCTTGTGTGGTCAATACAGACCCGTCTCTCACACTGCCACTGTCCCTGAGCAGCGGGCTGGTGATGGGTGACATCTGAGACAGCGCTACCCACGAGTCGATCCTCTCGCATCAAAGCATTTCCCCATCCCAACCATTTACCATCTTGGTATTTGTAATGTATAACTAAACCGTACACATAGTGCAGACTAACAAATGAGGAAAGCATACATTCCACATATTATTCCATACGATATCTGCATCTTCCACTCCATATAATAGAGACAAGAAAGAGAAAATGTTAACTTTTATTGTGTTAAAGTCTTCTCAACGGGATTAAAAACTGGCCGTCTGCCATTTTGCAGTCTGGCCCGACGCCTTTGAGGGAAAAAACAAAGATTTAAATTAAAACGCAGTCATTTTCAGTGTATAAATAAATAGTATGCGCTTTGTTTCACCCATCACCAGTGCAATGTGTGAGCAAACCCTGTGTAAGGCGTGTAGAAAGAGAGATAAATTAGGGCATATCCAGTGTGCCACCTCACACCGACAGAACCCTGAGCCCAGTGTGTGTGTGTTTGTGTGTGCATGAAAAGAGAGAGTCTGTCTGCTAGGTTTTTTCATGCATACGTCCCTCCGGTGATGAGAAGCTCGTAGGCCGGGTCTCGGCGTCTGCGACACAGCACCACACAAGCGCACAGCATTCCCAGCATCTGGAGGAAAAATAAAGTTTGACTTCATTTAAAACTCACAGATGTGAGATGAGAAACATCTGCACTGGTTCATGGTAAGAATACATACTACAGTTCTGGTTGATAATGATAAATTGCCGATATCAAAATTCTACATTATTTCTGTTTAAATAAACACTAAAAAGTAAAAGTGATTTTTGCCATCGCAAGCTTACAATAAATAGTATGAAGAATTGAGATTAGCTAAAGATTATATTGAATAGTGTAGTTAAATTATTAGAGTCAGATGGTTGGAAAAGTTACATAAACATACACTACCTTTCAAAAGTTTCTTTAAAAAAATGCTTTTAATTAGCAAGAATGCATTGAATTGATCAAAATAGACCGTATAGACATTTATACAAAAATCCTATTTCAAATAAATGCTGTTTTTTTTTTTTACTTTCTATTAATCAAAGGATCCTGAAAAAAATATATATAATGGTTTCCACAGAAGTATTAAGCATCACAACTGTTTTCAACATTGATAATAAGAAAATTTTTTTTGAGCATGAAATCAGCATATTGGAATAATTTCTGAAGGATCATGTGATACTGAAGACTGGAGTAATGCTTCTTGAAGATTCAGATTTGCCTTCACAGGAATAAATGACATTTTAAAATGTATTATAAAACTGAAAACATCTATATCAAATATTATTAAATAACGATATTTAACAATATCACTGTTTTATTGTATATTTAATCAAATAAATGCAGCCTTGGTGAGCATAAAAGTAAAAAAAAAAACATGATAAAAAAAGTGGACTGTGGCAGGAAATGCACGTATACAATAGCCGTTATTTCAAATTGCCTTTGTGACAACAGTCTACAAAAGAGAGGTGAACTTCTTCACACTGGCACTGACAAATTTAATCAGTAAATTCAGACAATGAAAAAAAAAAAAAAAAAAAATGAAAAGGTAAAACATCTGGTGTAATTTATGCAAGTTTGCCAAGAACAACCTAACCCACTGCCCCGGTTCTTGCTTGTTAATTCAGGCAGACTGAGTCAGTTGTGTAAGTCATGTGTAAGTCACGGGCATGTGCTGGGCTTGCCAAGATGCTGTCTTATCTGCCTTAACGCCCCAGAGGGTATTTGGAACAGTATGAATGTCAAAGTCTGTGATTCAGCAGCTACAGGGCAACAAAAGCACATAGTGA